AACACGCGGGATCAGGCAATCCACTCACCTCAGCCTCCCAAAGGCGCGGGATTACAGGCTGAGCCACCGAGCCCGGCTAAAACAAGTAAATTTTAAAGAATGGTGCAATTTCAACAAGGGAAAATAGTCAGTTTTGAGCATAACCTTTTGACCAATGTAAAATTAAATTCCAGTTTTCTAGGTTGTTATGCTATAAAGTTTTATTCATTCCAAGAGGTTCCATTTAATGTACTCTCTTACTGCTGCATACATGTAGCTGACCATTTATGGAGAAAAACTAATAGTGCTAGGTGGGGCTACCTTACATTATAACCTCAAATCACAAATGGGTCAGTTCTTCCTGGCAGCAATCCTACTACACAAATATATGCTTTTCTACTTTCCAAAATGAATACTCTCATTTCCCCTCAACCCTCTTCTACCATCTCTCCTAACCCTCCCTCTCAGTTTAAGACTTGCCTCATGCTTCAGTGAGAAAACAGAAGCAATCAGACAGGAACATCATCTTTGCCATCAAAGATGCTTCAAGCTTTCTCTGCATCTGTATCCATATTCTTTGTCTTGTGTCCTGCTGCTATGGGTGAAGTCCTCCTATTCTAATCTAAATCTACAAAACTTTCACTTATGTTGGGGATCCCTTCCCTTCTTGCCTTCTCAAGGATGTTATCATCACCATTATCTCTCTTTCTCCTATGTCACTGGTTTCTACCTTTGTTCTGAATTATCCCTATCTGCGTATAAACATTTCCTAGTATCTTCTGACTTTACCTCCAATTTCAGCTAGTGCTTCCATTATTTCTCTACTGTCATGCACAGCAAAATTCTTGAGCTTTCTACAGGTATCTAACTCCTCACTTCATTTTCCCATTTGGTTCAAATCAGGTTCTGCCCTACCCTCTCTCCTTCGACCTACATTGCCAAATCTAATGATTAGGCTTCTGCTTTTATCTTACTTGACTGCACAGCAATGATTGATTGATATGGTGACTACCCTTTTCTTCTTGAAATGCCATCTTCTCTTGGCTTCTGTGATATAATCCTCTTTTTTTCCCCCTACCTTATTGTTGCTTCTTCTCCTTGCTTTTTTTTTCCCCCCATGTCAGACCACAAATCAAAACAGTATCATGGATCTCTTCTTTTCTATCTAGTCCCCTGGAATTTTTATGTAATCTATATACTAGTGACTCCAAAATTTCTTATTTGCAGCCTAAACTTCTTTCCAGAACTCCAGGTATCTTATATCTTACCTAATATTTCTAGCTAGATGTTTAGTAGGCATTTCAAAGTTAACAAGGTCAAGAAAATAATCTTTATTCTATCCTTGTTCCTGTTCTATACCCTCTTTCTCAAACTTCTGTTGCTCAATTTTATCTCAGGAAATGATACCATGGTTACCCAGATGCTCAAACCAAAATCTACTTCTTACTTTTCATTCCTTCCTATTCCTGTTTCATCATATGCAATCTATGAGCAAGTATGGTTGACTTTACTTCTCAAACATATCCTGAATCAGTCCACTACTGTTACATCTGTGATAATCTCTTGTTGAAGATGCTATCATCAAGCTATCTTTCCTGGACTCCTGCAATAGCATCCTTAAACATCTCCTTGTTTTCTATTCACACAGCAGCCACAGTGATCCCCTTAAGATATCCAAAAGATTGTGTCACTCCATGCTTAACATGCACCATTTAAAAAAAAATCACACCTGGCCAAAATCTAAATAGTTTAGTTTGATTACAAAGTTCAACATGATCTGGACTCCTGTCCATCTCTCTAATCTCTTCTCACACCACCGTCCTGTCACTTGGTGTCCTCCAACCACACTAGACTGTTGGTACCTAAAATCCCACACTTATGACTGCAACTGAGACTTTTCCCTGGCTGTTCTCTCTGTCACACCTTTTCTCTTCTCTGACCTTTGTATGACTAGCTCCTTCCTGTCACTCTTTAAAGACTCTTTTCTGACCAACCAATCTAAAGTATTTTAATTTTCTGTATTTTTCTGGTTTATATTTTATGTATTTATTTACTCACTTCTTTTGGGAATCTGTAGCCTAGAATGTAGGAAATGTTCAATAAATATTTTAAAATAAATGAACAGATAATTAAAACAGTCTTCTGATTACCAGTTGTCAACTATCATCATTAACAATAAATTAACAATAGCAACAACATTTTACATTTAATAAGTGATTACTATATGCAAGTACTACTCTAAGTGCTTTGTATATGTTATCATATTTAATTATCCAGCAACCTTTCAAGCTAGTTACTACTATCCCCATTTTACACATTAGGAAACTGAGGCACAGGAAGGTTATGTGATTTGCCCAAGGTCATTCAACTAAAAATGGCAGATCCAGGATTCAAACCAGGTAGACTGATTTCAGGGCCTCTGTGCTAACTTCCTTAATATTTTATTATTATGATAATTACTAATAGTAGTAATAATAAAAGGATTAATTGAATATCTACTAAGTATCAGGCATTTAGGCAGGCTTTTTTTTTTTTTTTTTTTTTGAGTTGGAGTCGCCCAGGCTAGAGTGCAGTGGCAGCCTGCTGGGCTCAGGCGATCCTTCCGCCTCAGCCTTCCAAGTAGCCAGAACTACAAGCACGTTACCATGTCCAGCTAATTTTTAAAAATTTACTATAGAGACGAGGTCTCACCATGTTACCCAGGCTGGTCTCGAACCCGCAGGCTCAGGCAGTCCTCTCGCCTTGGCCTCCCAAAGTGCTGGGATTACAGGCTTGAGTCACTGCACCCAGACAGCAGGCTTTTTACTTAGGTTAATTTAATCCTCATAACAGCAGCCCTATTAGCCCATGTAGGCATTATTATATTTACTTTACAGATGCAAAAACAGGGTCAAGGAAGTTAAATTTCTGGCCTACATGCAAGTAGAAAACAAGTGGCACAGCTGGAATTTCAATCCAGATGTGATTCCAAAGTAATGTTCTTTCTATATTATAATGCCCCCTTTCCCCTCAAGACGACTGAAGTTTTTTCCATGATCCATAAACCAATGCACTCAGGGTCTCTTTGTTGATTCTGGGGAAAGTCTCTTATTTTCGTAATTTCTTCAACTCTTTTGTTCATTCAACAAATATTTACACATTGCCTAAAATGTGCTGATACATTGTCACATATGGGGAGGACTCTGTCATTCTCAGTGTGCTATCAGGATTCTCTGCTGAGTCTATTCTCACCTGTGAAGAAACTTCTCATAAGTCTGGCGGAAGGCAAATCCTGCCCGACGTACTCTCACATTCTCCAGTAGTCCAAGATATTCTACTTGATGCCGGCAGCGTTCACCATCAAATATCTGTGGGGATTTCTTGTCATTGGGTTTGATGCAACGTACATAATATGGTTCCTAAAGAAACAAATCAGCAAATGATAAGTTTTGCTGGAAAAAATTCCCAGACTAGGGACACTAACATGTAATTAGTGTTAATTGTGTCAAGTTAAGCTCAGTGCTTCTTATTTCTCAGGCATACATTTGTGAATAAAGTAGTTATTCTTCTTTCCTCCTCAATTCAAGGTGAGAAGTTTTCACATGCAGCTAAAATTTTGCTTAATTACGTTTTAGGTTTCATGAGGAATTGTAGAAAAGGGATAAAATTAGAAAATAAAATAAAAGACATACAAACATTGAGTTTTTGTGTATTTCTGAAAACATGGTTAAAGTAACTGAAGGCAGCAGTTAAAGATCAAATGGGATTAAGAATGTAAAAGGACTTTCTTTGTTAACGTTATATTAAGGAACAGTAAGAACAGCTCTGGTACACTGTAAGTGTTCTTTAAGTGTTACCCAGCATAATTAATATTATTGCACTAGTTTTGCTTTTGAAAAAGAAATTAAACTTCATGAGTAAGTAGAGAAGTTACAAAACCATCTACAGACATCAGTTATTCTATGAAGGAGCCCAGCTAGGAATCCTTCCCTCTGTGCCAATTAAGTTTTTTTTATCATGTGTTAGATCATAACTCCTTTTAAATATAAAACTATGCTTGGCATATATCCTGGTACATTGAAGATGATGAATAAATTATCACTGGATGAATCAATGAGGTCAAATGTATCCTGCTCATAAGTATAGAGAGTTTCTTTCTCTTCTCTGAATCTGTTATCTATCAGGCACAAAGATGCACTCTAATTAAGATATAGAATTCTCTGTAGTTAAATCAGAGAGTTTTGTGCTCCACTGAGAGCTAGAGGTAGGATAGGATAGTAAATAATTTAAGAAGTAGGAGAGATTTGAAGAATGTGTATTTCCTTGCACTTTGAACAGAATAACAGTTTTAAAACCTAAAAAAGAAATTCCAACTATATATTTATCATGCTGTCCTACATGATGAAAAGTAATATTATTTTCTTCCTTTTCTCAAGTCCTGCTATCTTAGTTTCCTATTGCTGCTGTAGCATATTATCACAAATTTAGTGGTTTAAAACAATAAAATTTTATTATCTTATATTTTTGGAGGCTAGAAACCTGAAGTCGGTTTCACTGGGCTAAAATCAATGTGTCATCAGCGTTGTTACTTTCTGGAAGATTGAGAAGAAAATCCATTTCCTCATCTTTTCCAGCTTCTGGAAGCTGCCCACATTCCTTGGCGGGTGAGTCCCTTCCATCTTTAGTGGCCAAGTGAGTTTTTCTCATGATGTCATCGCTAGTTCTGACTCTTCTGCCTTCCCCTTGCTCCAAGGACTCTTTGGATGATCCTGGGTCAACCTGGATAATCCCTTATTTCAAGGTTTGCTAATGGGGCTAGTAGGGCAAAGATTCGACACTAGGGCCTAAAAAGGGGGAGGTCATGGGTCACCCCTCTCACTTTGGGTTGGGATCCTGACACCAGGAATAAGGATGAATCAGAAGTAGGCAGTCCCTCAAAGGGACTATGTTTGGCCTTTCCTCCATCTGAGACCTTAACTCCGTCTTTCTATACAACATAACATGCTCACAGGCTCTGGGGATTAGGGTATGGACATCCGGGGATCGCTATGGTATAACAACAACAACAACAACACATATATCTGGTCTTTGCCTCTGGTTTCTGGCATAGAGCTTCAAAAAGCTTTGGAGTTTCTTCAGTGATTGAAGTGTCATAGTTAAGCTAAAAAAGTGGCTCTTGGCCAGGCCCCTAAATAGCTTCAGGGTAGGAGCTGGTCACCAGAAAACCCCTCCATGTGATTAGACAGCAGGAACTTTCAGCTACCTGACATCTGGGAAAGTTAGGAGGATGGGTGAATTAATTTTTTAAATTTTTATTATTTTTGAGTTGAAGTCTCACTCTGTCACCCAGACTGGAGTGCAGTGGCTGCTCCCGGCCACTGCAGCCTCGACCTGCTGGGCTCTGGCAATCCTTCCGCCTCAGCCTTCCGAGTAGCCGGAATTATAGGCACGCGCTACCACGCCCGGCTAATTTTTTTAATTTTATTGTAGAGATGAGGTCTCGCCTGCCCAAGCGGGTCTCGAACCCGCGGGCTCGGGTAATCCACTCACCTCAGTCTCCCAAAGGCGCGGGATTACAGGCTGAGCCACCGAGCCCGGCTGATGGGTGAATTTAATCAAGTGACTAATGATTTAATCAACTACACCTACATAATGAAACCATAATGATAAAAAACAAAAAACAAAACAAAACCAACCCAGAACACCTCAGGACACTGAGGTTTGGAGGAGCTTTCTGGCTGGTGAACATATTCATGTACTGGAAGGGTTAGGCACCCTGACTCCATTGGGACAGAAGCTCCTGCGCTTAGGCCTTGCTTCCAGATCTTATCACTCTATATATCTCTTTATCTGGCTATTCATTTATATCCTCCATAATGAAAATTTAATCAAAAGTATAGCATTTTCTTGAGATTTGTGACCCATTCTAGCGACTTACTGAACCTGAAGAGGGGCCATGCGAAAGCCCAAATTTGTATCCAAATCATATAGAAGTGTAGGTGTTCCAGGGAATTCACTTGCAACTACAGTCTGAAGTCAAGGACAGTATTGTTGGGGACCCTGCCCTTTAACTTGTTGGATCTGGTGCTAACTCTGGGAAGTTAGTGCCCAAATTGAATTGTACCTAGCTTATGGTAGAGAGTCAATGTTGCAGTGCAGAGGCCATTAAACTGCCCACACATTTGTTCTTTTTAATCTTGTCACCTGTGGGAGAATGAAAACCATGACCATGATATTTTGCAGCACCTCCCAGTAAGAAGCGAAATCTCTATCCCATGCCTTGAATCTGGGTTGACTTTTGATGTGCTTTAACCAATAGCATGTGGCAGAAGTGACACTAGGTTACTTCTAAGACTCATCTTTGAGAGGCTCGGCCCTTTTGGAACACTTCTTCTAGCATGTGAAGAAGCCAAGGACTAAAGACCACATGAAGAAAAATGCCCAGTCACCTAGCCACACCATTTGAGTGAGATTATCTAGCCTCAGCTGACAGCAGGTGCTTGGTGAGCCTAGCAGAAGAACTCCCATTCAACCTACTAAATCATGAGAAATAACAAACTGTCATTTCAGCACTACATTTTAGAGTGATGAGTTATGAAGTGATAGATAACTAACACCTCTTTCCTATTTCGGAACACCAATCCCTGGATTAGATGTTAGATTTTTGTATATTTAAGCAAAAGATCAATATTATTATAAAGCACAAGGAGAATCCCACTTTAAAAAATAGTGCTTGGTGGTCCAATGTTCACTAAATCTGTAATGGTTTTCAAATGGAGCATTTATATTGAGGGATGGGGGAGTTGCAATTTATGCTTAAAAATGGCTTATAACAATTTTTTAAAAAAACTGATAGGATGAGGAAATGAGGGAGGTGGCACTATTTACGTGAGAATTTTCTACAAGTTTCCTAGAATACAGCATCTTTGCTGCAGTGAGTGACCTAAGAAAAGTGGCTTTATACAGTAAATATTGAAATGCTACTAGATCTATCTGCATGTTTGGTACTGGTGTAACAGAATAAAACCACACAAGATTAGAACACTTGGGTCTTGGTTGTCTCTGTTGTTAACTAGCTATGATGGTGTCTCTCTGGACTTAATTAGCTAATTTATGAAAAGAAGGTACTAGGGCTTTCTCTGAGCAATAACAGACTAGGTAATTTAAATTGACATCCATGCTGGGGATAACTAGAGTAGGTAAACAAAATACACAGACTATTTGCCTAAAGATATTGGAGAGCTAACAAGACAGTAGAGAATTACTGGGCCAGAATCCAGGAGAGGAAGAAAGCCACACAGGAGAGCCCAGGTTTGAGACTGCCTTTTTTTTCCTGGGGGAATTTACCTTTTGTGCACAATAATCAATAAAGGGGAGAAATTCAGAAGAATCAAATAGAAAGCAATTATGAGATGGCTGATTTAAATGTAATATATGGTATCTACATTAAAAGTACATAAACTAAATGATTTATTTGAAAGACAAAAATTGTCAGAATAGATTAAAAAACCAAAACTAACTATATACTGCTTATGAGAGACATACTTGAAACATAATGGAGGATGAAAAGATACACCATGCAAACCCTAGTCAAAAGAAAAGCTGGCATAGCTATATTATTCATGCAAAGAAGACGTCAAGGCAAAAAGCACTATGGAAATAGAGATGTTTCATAATGATAAATGACTCAAACACCAGGAAGATATAACAGTTCCAACTTGAATGAACCTAATAAATTCTCTAGATAGTCAAATGAAAAACTGAAGGTAAAATAAGGACAAGTAGACAAATTCAGAATCAAAGTAGATTTTAACACACCTTTTTAACATTGATCAAACAAAGACATTAGTAAGAAAACAAAAAAGTTGGACAATAGAATTAGCAAACTTGACCTAGTGGAATACTGAATGCAAATTATTTTTAAATGTAAAATGTAAAAATTTTAAATATTTAAATGTAAAAAATGTATATATAAAGCAAATTTAGCAAATTTTTAAGAATTGAAATCACACAGAATATGCCCTCTGACAAAACAAGACTAAGCTAGAAATCAGAAGCAAAAAGATAATTAGAAAATTCTATATGTTTGAAAATTAAGAAAAATACTTCTAAATGACCATTACAAGTTAAAAAAAATTACAATGTGAATTAGAAAATATTTTGAAATGAATAATTTATAAAATCATGAGGGCAAGGCAATCTTAATATAAGACATCATCTGAGATATATAAGCAACTTTACTAAACAGAAAACAGTTGAATGGAATTTTACCAGTTTTGAATGATTATGCACAGAAAGTGGTAACACTGGATGAGACACTAACAACCAACTAAGGGGTAGGGGAAGCCCTTTCATCCTGTTCAATAATAAAAAAGTCTTCGGATAAGGAATCTGGTGGGAATACTTTCTCTATATTTAA